TTTCAGACTGTTAAAAAATTTATCTCAACTTTCATCTGAGGCAACAATGAAACCACAATGTTCTAGAACCCCTGCAATTTTGTCTGGTAAAACAAGGCCCGCAAGATCAAATATAAAAAATCAAAATTTTTGTTCACATCCGACCTTTCAACAAAAAAAAATGACACAATAACGAATTTTTTCATCACGAAATCATATATACAAGGGCGGATTTAGGGGGACCAGGTTGATATTCTCCCTCAGTGATTCGTCCTTCTGTGATTCGTCTACGGGCTCGCTTGTACCGACTTGAATGTCTAAGAGACGCAGACAACAAGACTTACCACTTCGCCAAAAAGTTTTAGGATTGCGCAAAACAAATAAAGTCAAATACTGGGGCTAAATGATCACTGAAAACTAACGGATCAAAGGAGGAGCGTAAAACAGAAAGCACAGTAGTTGGTTTTGCTGAGGGTTATTGAAGTGTAAAATAGATGGGATACTTTTCCGGGCGGGGGGATGGGGGGTCTTTGGGGGATTGGGGGGATTGGGGGATTGGGAGGAGGGCTTGCGATGAATTGTCAGGGAGAGGGAGTAAACGTGGGGGGGGGGATAAAAGGGGTGTTCTCTGAGATGATTTTTTTTTAAAATGAGAGACAAAAAAAATATAAATTTTTCTTTGAAATGAAACATTTTACAAAACGTAATACGTAGCAACATCAGTAAAAAGTAATCGAGAAAGCTTTGAAAAAGTTGTATATTTCATGATTAATCTGTCGAAAAAATCCATTACAACCGATTTTATTTCTTTATAATGGATTAGATTGGCATGAAAAATATTAGGTTTATAATCCATTTTCAATGGATTGTGATCAATTTGTTTTATAGATACTGACCATATTTTGAAAAGATAATAGATTATGATCCATGGGTGCATGTATATTGAAGCCCTTTCAGTCGTGATTCGAACGACATTAAAAAACAGTGTCGATAAAAAACCGGTCTGAACTTTTTAATTTTTGGTCTAATTTTGAGCAAAAAATATAACAAGAGCTTTTTTAAGCTTAATTTAAGCCGAGAAAACTTAATTTTACTCAATTAGTCAGTTTTTTAGCGCAACTTTGTGCAATTTAGCTCTTTCTTGTGTGGAATGAAATGTTGCATTTGTTTCGCAATATCCTAAAAGCCTAAAAGTCCTAAAAGCAGTGTAAATTTATATGGTGAATTGTTGTACCCGTGTAGGAACTTTACATCTGTGTTTGTATTTTTAGCGTATTTGATGGATCAATTCATTATTCTAAATAATAATTCGAGGTCAGACATATATAGCTTTTGTTTATTTCGATCAGTATTATTTTGATGTACTTGATTGATAGAAAAAACATTTACATGTCCTGGTAGTGGTTTCAGATGTTTTAGTTGTTGGTTATATATTGATAAAACTTTGAGAAAATAGGGGGTTGCTTATTTTAACTTTGGAGATGTTTTTTTTCTATATTTGTGTAATTGTCTTCGAAAAGTAGTTTACTGTTTATTATTTTTATAGTTGGGATAAGTTTAGTAATATTTGTGCTTCCAACGATATTTGTTCCATGGTTCGAGTTGAAATAAGAAACAATTGAATTTTCCGTAAATTGTTAGAATTGCGACTTGTGCAGTGGCTAGTTTACTTTAGGTTTTAGACGGAGAAAATTTTGGATGTAGAATTTGAATCTCATTCCATGTAGGTATATTTATAACATTTGATTCTGCACCACTATCAGTTCGAAAATCTATTTCAAGATCTGGTGATTGGAAGTTTTTGCTTTTCGGGCTTTCTAGGAGAAGTGGATTTTTCAAAATTTGTACTTTAATTGATTATATGTTACTTGTTGTATTTTGGTACATCGTGTTCATATTGGATTTGATTTCAATTACATGTGGGGTGTAATTTGTTATTTCTTGAATATTATCTAGTTTTTGAGGACTAGAACTAATGATTTTATTTTGGTGATAAATCGATTTGGTTGGTGTTTAACGTTCATTTTCTATATTGAGCATGTTTATAATAAGTGTGTTTTACGTATCAACTCCGTCATCTGTAGTTTCACAGTGTATGTGATTTAACTGTAGTTCTGAAGTTTCTGCTTTGTCGATCTGTTTTGTCTGATCTTGTTTCGTCTGCGAATTTTACTTGAACAAATTGTCTTTATGTTTTAGTGTACTGCCTCTATAGTTCTGACTTTTATGTTTGACAATTGAGTATTATTTCGATGTGGTGACTGAGAATAGTTTCTTGGCCTGTTCTAATAGTTGCTTCTTCTATTTCTAGAAATATCACGGAATTTATTATTATAAATTTTAAAATATGGTCTACTGTTGAAGTAGTTTTGTGATCTTTTATTTGAATAATTTCGATTTCCACTACTTGAATAGTTTCGATTTCTGTAGTTTGAAGAATTTCTTGAACGGTCATATGAATAGTTTCTATTTGGAGAGTTTGAATGAGAACTGTTCCTGTTATAGTTTGAATAGTTACTTCTATTTGAATTTGATTTAGATTAATTGTTCTCCTACTGATTATTTTGACTGTTTGATCTGCTATATCTATTTTATGAATATTTTTGTGAATTTCGTCGATCTGGTGAATTTCCGCGAAAATTATTTCGATAACGGGACTGTGATCTGTTTTTGCTATAGCTATCTGGAAGTGGTTATCCTGAGCAGTTGTTAGTTTGAGTAATTTTATTTGGTAATCTTGATCTTTTTTCTTGAATCGATAAAAAAATTTGCTTGGTTCTCTGTGTTTTTGGTCTATTTAAGTTGTCTTGTTGTTTTTGTCTGCATTCAGCAATGCTATGTCTATATCTACGTTAACAGTTACACAGTTACACCAATTTCTAAAGATGGTTTGCCTTTTAAACTCGGATTCTTTTCATAGATGTTTAGTATTTGAGTAATTGATCTGCTAGTTTGTTATAGATTTTATTAATTTGTAAAGTTGTTGTTTGAACGTTATTTACAAATTGTAGTTTTAAATTTTCAGGTTCTTCTAATTTCATAGTGATCTCAATTTGTTCTAGTTTCTTTACTACTTTTCGAAAATCTATATCGGGTTCACGGGTCGGTCTTGGATGTGATGCTCTCTTTTTTGTTCCAATTTTTTTGAATTGTGGTGTTAGAGTCGTCATTAAAATTACTGTCATTTTCGTCTTTTTTTTGTAATTATATGAATTAAGAGAAAAGCTTTTTGTACTAGTGATTGAATTTTTACTGCAAGTTGTTTTATTGTTTCATTCGGGAGTCTACAAATTAGGCTGCATCAAACTCTTCGATGTTGTTTGTTTCTTTCTGAGTCGAACGTTTTGGAAATTCTTGTGTGAATCGTTTTCATTCGGATTTCGATTCTATGTGTAAAACCGAAAATTTTTTTTGAGCTGTGCTATCGAGTGTGGTTTTGATTGATGCTGTACGTCTATGTATCCAGTTTTGATGAAGTGGTGTGTATACTGGTTCTGGACCTATATTTAAAAGTAGTTTTGCTGTAACTGCATTTAGGTAGTCTTCTAATGAATATTCAGGATCTATTCCTGTTAATACCATGAGTAGTGATTAGATGTTATGGATGGTCCACTCATAAAGTATGGGTTCAGGGTCATTTAAAATGATTCTGCTGTGTTTGGTTTTTGTGTAAAGTTTGTAAGTTGATTTTTTGTAATTTCATGTTGCTGTAAGTTAAAAGTTAATGGGACGTCGTTTCTCATTGAGAAACTTGAGTTTTTGTGTGGTTTTGTAATTGCATGCTATTACTAGCCTATGCCTGATTTGACTTTAGAGATTTGTTGTTGTAATTGTCGTGGTTGTTTAGAATTCATATAAGGTTTGAAAATATCTGGTGAAAAATATCATCTGGTTGATTCAAATTATTCCAGTGGTTGTTTCGTTGATTATTTTATAAATTATTGTTAAAATTGATTCTAGTAATTTTCATCTTCAGAATAATGTGGTTGGCTTATTGAGAATTGCCTGTTAATTGGGTTTTTACTTTGTTGAAAAAAAAATAGATAATTTTCAGTGCGGTCAATCGGAGTTTTTCGTTTAAAATAAATTAAAGAATGAGTAAGATACTGATTTTAGTATTTTTTGAGTATAATATTGTTCTTGAGCTTGATTACGTGTTGAATAACTTGTTTTGCTATTGGATTGTTGGCATTTTTATTTGTGAAAAAGTCATAATTATGATAAGCAAAAATATTGCTGTTAGCGTGTTTTCGTTTATTAGATTGTCGTTTTTTGATTATTGGTCTGTTTGTTTGGTAATCCATATGCGAGAATTTAGTGTTATACGCGAGTATTTTTGATTATATGCGAGGAATAACAGAAGATTTAAGTTTTGGTTGTAATGTTGTTTGTAGTATTTCTTTTATTTGTGATGTTGTAAGTGTTGGATGGATAGTTAAAAACCATGTTGTGTTGTTGTAGGCAGTGTGATGGAGTTTGGATAGTGTAATGGAGTTAACAAAGTGTGATGGAGTTTGGATACCTTGTTGTGTCAAGTTTCAGCTTTACAAATTCTCGTAAATGTTAGTTATGGATCATGATTGGTTAGTTAGAAATATTTCACAGATATAATTTTATCAATAATTTATTTAGATATAAAAACTAGTTTTCAACTACTGGTTCAACTACACATCGATAAAAAAAAGGATATCCAAAGAGAGATATTCTTTTGACACTCATGAATGAAGACGCGAAAAATTCACGCTCATTCTGATTTAACAACTAGTTGCAATTTTTCGGTAACTGCACCAATTTTTTTGTTAAGTTAATTTTGCTACTGGTTTTGAATTCCCTCCCGCTGCTCAAAAAAAACTCATGAAAGAAACTGATTCCGATGGTTTTTTTGAAATTTTTTAAGCGATTTAACTGTGTTTCAACATTCTGTGTTCTCTAAACTGCTTGGTGCTATTACTGCTAATCAAAATAACCGAATATCTTTGATCATCCAGTTTTTTGATGTTTTTAAAAACATTTCGAGCAAGATTTATTGGACAGAGCTATTTACAGAGACTATAGAAATTTATAAAGTATGTCATGAAAGATCATTTAGAACGCCAGTTTATATACACATAGCTTTGCGAAACAATTTTTTATTCATTGAAAACCCTCTTGAAGTCCATTTTTGTTCATCTTCTAGGTTATGGCTGTTAAGCGTACAAATCATAGCATATTTGATCGTCGTCTCCATACTGTTCGTGGCACTGCAAGAAAAGATCAGTGGTATTAGTTGATGGGTAGTACTCGGGAATGCTAGGCTTCGTGATCATGAAGTATTTCTTGAAAATCTCAGCTATATCCTCCAGAGTTTTGATCATTTCTCCGATTGCATCCTTCGCTTCGTAGATTTCCATCAAGTCAGACGATGGATAGTATGATGAGCTGCTCTTGGAAGAGTCCATCGAAGAGTCGGAGTACCAGGAAGAGTCCATAGAAGAGTCCGAGTACCAGGAAGAGTCCGAAAACCAGGAAGAGTCCATAGAAGAGTCCGAGTACCAGGAAGAGTCCGAGTACCAGGAAGAGTCCGAGTACCAGGAAGAGTCCGAGTACCAGGAAGAGTCCGAGTACCAGGAAGAGTCCATAGAAGAGTCCGAGTACCAGGAAGAGTCCATAGAAGAGTCCGAGTACCAGGAAGAGTCCATAGAAGAGTCCGAGTACCAGGAAGAGTCCATAGAAGAGTCCGAGTACCAGGAAGAGTCCATAGAAGAGTCCGAGTACCAGGAAGAGTCCATAGAAGAGTCCGAGTACCAGGAAGAAGCCGAGTACCAAGAAGAGTAAGGGTACCAGGAAGAGTCCGAGTACCAGGAAGAATCCATAGAAGAACCCGAGTACCAGGAAGAGTCCGAGTACCAGGAAGAGTCCGAGTACCAGGAAGAGTCCATAGAAGAGTCCGAGTACCAGGATGAAGAGTCCGAACTATCGCCCGAGGGAAGCTCTCCTCCTTTCTTTTTTTTGTTTTTGTGAGTTTTCTCTGCTTTTCTCTCGAGCTTTTCTTGAGACTTAGTAGGTTTTCTTCGGTCAATCGACTGGTCACGTTTCTGATGTTTGGATGGTTTTTGCTCGGTCGGCAGAACCAAGAGAGCAAACATCACCAAACAAAGCAGCGAGAATTTGCTCAAACTCATCTTGTAATCAGACGAGATTTATGTTTCCAACTCAGTTATCAAAGAAGACCAACTGTTTTGCTCCGAGACTGATTTTCGAATGAATTTCTCCGGTTTTGGCGCTGGCTGGCAATATACTGACAAACGTCAGAAGAACACGCCACAGCTTCTGGCTGATTTAGAAAATAGCCAAAAATCATTATAAAAATGCTATATGAGTAAGAGCAAAGGTCTTCAGCTGATATATAAAAGCAAAAACTAACCAACAGCTCTGCTAGTTTATTTTTCTACAGTTTACAAGTGTTTTTGAGTTTTCTGCCTTTCATACAATCTTGCTTATAGTTTTCTACCTGTCTGCGTTCTTTGTTAACAATCAGAATGCAATCGAAAGAAACAGCTAAAACCGCCTTCAAACCAACAGTATACCTTAATCTGCCACAAGAGTTGAAAACAATTGTTTTTCAAGAACAAGATAAATAATTACTCAATTCACTAAATTAGTGCATAAAATACAAACGAATAAATACAAAAGTATAAAAAAATACAAATCTCACCGTATTTTGGTCTCTTTAGTTCTTTTTTTTGCGCTCATTCATCGGTGCAAATGGAAAAAATACAAATTCAATGCAAGCGGAAGTTCTAATTGGATCGGCGGAAGTATATCGTTTAAACTTGAAAAGGGAATGACGGCCGACTTATACGAGGTCTACCGAAAGAGTGATGTGACATTTGTTGCTACTTTTTCTTATACTTTCGCCCCGTTGAACAGGAATATGATTGTCAAAATAGGAAAAAAAACTCTAGATTTTGATTCAAAAAGTGGCTCCTCAGAAACATAATTACAATTTTTTTAGAGTTAGTGAGTGTGGATTAGAAACGTCGATTCGATACAATGAGCACCGGATATCTCAGCGTAGTGGTAATAGGCGCTTGCTCCAATTTTGACGATTGGCTAGGTAGTATGTTAGAACAAGTTCTATATTGAACAAAAAGTACGCCTCTTGAAAGTTCGAATGAGACATAAAAAAAGTTGTTCAGGTGAACAGATCTTCTTAACAATCCCCTTTAAGAAAGAGGTCCCCCCTTCACAAGTAGATTAGCTGAATATTTATTTTATTCAGATAAAATTGAACGTATTTTTCGGTGGTATTGTGTTGAATTATGTTTTGTTATCATATTGAAGTAACGGATCTTACCCTCATAATCATAGCCTAGTGTCTGCATTTAGCTACTGATTGAGTTGCTATTTAGATAACTTCTTCAGTCGCGTGTCTTTTTTTTGGTTGTTTTTGTTCATCAAAAAATCTTAGAACTTGTGCAAGCTCGAATTTATTTTTTCTTCGGTTTGTTTCTGTTTTCTTCTCAAGTGACGACAGAAGAAGGGAGGGGCCAGGTGAATGTTTTCCTTCAAGGAATTTCATACCCTCTTATTTTGACCCGTTTATATATTGACCATGGTACCCTCTTTGGTAAAACTTACTGATATTATCTTAAGCCGGACAATGTCAAAGATTTCTTACTATGCGTTTGTTTCTACAAAAACTGTTTAGTTTTCCTTGGAAGAGCTCGTCCTGAAGAAAAACGTTCAATACAGTGTTAAAAAAATTGCATTTTTTGTTGAAAATCCCCTATCTAGCAAAATCCCAGGTTCGGTCCGCAACTCTTTCCAATTAGCTTGCCATAGCTGTAATAAGCAAGATATTTTAGCTAAACTAGGTATATTGCAAAGAACACGAAAAAATATTACTGAGCCAAAAAAAAATATTTAGCCAGTCATTACAATTGAAGGCATTTTCACGTTGACAGCGTCTTTTTAAAAAATACAACTATTTTACTTTTCGATGCAGAATCGTGGCTCCAAAAGCAGTAAATATCAATCATAATTGTTAACTTTACTTTTTTATAAATCATATTATACAAATGCTGATTATGCTCGTCAATTGTTAGTTGTTATTAAAAACTAAAGCTGATCTTTGCACACGTTCTGCATAAAAATGTATGACCACTCAAGCGAAGTTTTTCGAATTCTTATTTAAAGAAGGCGTTATTCAAAGTGAAGCATTTTTGTCAATACCAAAATGACAAATTGATCTTCATTTAACTAGCAAAAAAACCCTATTGTTTTTTTTCATGCATAGCAAGCCAGGTTTCTAATTTTTCAAACAGAAGTTGTTCCGTGCTAAAAGTTCTCGAAAAATTAGTTCTCTGATAGTTTCGGCAAAGTCAAATATGCAACAGTGGGCTGAGAGGGCGCCTCTTTAATTCTGGCAGCCATTTTTCCCCCGTTAGTACTAGCTATTGGCCTCCCTTTGGTAATATTTACCACATCCAATTTCGTCCTGCTTCGGCTAACCGACATTAAATTTTTCTGAAAGCTCCTTTGTTGCCAATACATACAAACTTTGTCGCTATTTTGTGGAATTTTTTAAAAATCTGCCTTCGTCCCCCCTCCTCAGAGAAAATCCTGGATCCGCCTGCCATCTGCATTGATTCCCAAACCTAAGCTAGAGGATTTGCACATTTTTGTTAACGATTATTTGAAATTTTCTTGGTTGTAATTTTTTAAACTGAGCTGGAGTGTGTTATATCCATGAGTTTCTTTGAAAAAACTCAGGTGAGTGAAAAATTTGATACAAACTGAAGAGTTTTTTACGCATGAAAAACACAAAGATCTGATTTTTTCATGGTTTAACGAGGAGCACAGCAGCTGATACACAATGCAAAACGCTTTCACCGTAAATCGTAATGATGACTAATCTTTAAACTCGACTCTTGTTTTTTTTCGAAAATTTAGACAGAAGAAATAAGGAAAGTTAAAAATTTTGTGTGCCTTCCTCGGGTATTGTCCATGCATGTTTTCCAGTAAATAGTCGGAAATCTGCAAGGAAATGTCCAATAAAGAGTCAGTATTGGCCTAAAACTGCTAGGAAAAGTAGCTAGGAAAAGTCTGGGCGTGACGACAATCCGACTGACCAACCAGCCGCCCGAACAAAATTTTGCGAATGACCTTGTATTAGAGCCAGTCAATTGAACAGCCAATAGACACAAAATGAATGCCTTTTTGCAGGTTTTAGCAAAATTGATTTTTCTGTTCCTGTTATTTTATTTATTTTCTTTTTGAGGCAAAACTTCTAAAGAAAACTATGAATCTCTAAAGATGGTCTTGACCTTATATAAGTCTTGCTGTTTTTGTGTTTGTTTTTTTTTTCAGGATTTTGATTTTTCGAGGTTTGACTTATGATTTTTTGTAAATTGTTAAAAGGAAGACAAACTCCACTATCGAACAGCAAAAATGTAAATGTCGCCGAAAACGCGATCGATTTCTATTTTCGAAAGTGGAACTTAATTTTCAGATTTACCTGGTACATAAAAAATTTACCTACTAATACAGATTTCTGATATAGCAGTACTGTTATTACACTTGCGATCAGCTGAGTGTATTGTTACAAACCGTCTTTTTTCTAATATAAGTCGCAAATGAAATTGCTAACTGTGAAAATTTTCAATCTTTCTCAATTCCTGTTTGACTTGCAAAAAATGAAAAACTATTTTTTACACAAAAAAATCTGACACTCGGAAAAGTAAAAAATCAGATTTTTTGACCTTTTTTTGATTTCCTGTTAAGAAAGAACAGGTATAATGAAAAAAAAATGTTTTTTTTTTTCATTTTTTTGACGCGCTTTGGAAATTATTTTCTCTTTTTTCAAAAATTTAGTATCAAGTAGAATTGCATCCCCCACTCCCCCCCCACTGTGTGCCTGCGTAAATTTTCGGACTTTATTTACCTTATCTCACTTTTTACAGTCCTCAACAAAATGTGTGATTTTGACCCATTTTTTTGGATTTAGGATTTTTTTGAATTTTTTGGTTTCTCGAAAACTACCATCGCAAGGTTAATATTTTGGGTTCAATGGACAGAGCACATGGTAAGAAGCTCCCCTATTTAAGTGGTTACGCCCAATTGATTTTACACAAAACCTTGCGACTCTCTGAGAGGTCAATTTTTTTGATACTTTATGACTTTTCTCAAAAACTACCCTCCGGAATCTGAGATATCGGTTTCAATGGTTAGAACAAGCTGTGGGAAACTCCCCTGCATAAACAGTTGCGCCTAGTTTTTTTTACAGTTGCGCCTAAATTTAGCAAATTATTGTTTTCAAAGGTTGATTTTGGTTATAACACTGCTTAGAATGTTTTTTTTTCTGAGGCGAATACAAAACACAGTGAGCAAAGTTAAATGTGTATTTTATTCGAGAGTTACAATATGCGACCACCCTCACACAACATGTTACTGCCAATGACGCAGATCTGGTTTTTATGACATGAATTACGACATGAGATTTATACTGCATAATTAATGGTGAAAAAAACTTTTCTAGTGAACTTTTAGTCAGAGACGTTTTGCTGAATGTAATTTAATGGCCACAAAACAAAACCGACGTCAAACAACACGATAGTCTTTTGCATTTTTGAATCAGCAACGTGTTGTTTTCAATTTTTTGTCTATTTTTCGGTTTTAATTGTTCATTTGAGATGGCATACGAGTTTTGCGTACATTGCCTGGACTATACTTTTAAAACCAAATTCAATCTCTGAGATCGCAATGAGCAAATTTTACCGTGTACATTTTATGCAAGAGTTTTAAATTGCGACCACCTTTACATAACATGTTACTGCCAATGATGCAAACTTTTTTTACTTGAATAACGAAATGATATTAAATAACTGTAAGACGTATGATAAATGAGCTTTCTATATAATTTTAATAGTGACGCTTTATCGTAAGTTATTCATTGGTTACAAAACTCAAAAAGCAGACCATAACATGATACGATAGCATTTTTGCATTATTGAACCAGCAACGCATTATGATCGATTTCTGTTTTATTAATCGTTTCTTATCATTCATTCAAAATGGCGGAGATTTACTTTCATGATTTTTATCAGGAGCTCGATGACTTTGAGCTGGACATGCCAGGAAGACAGAGAGTTCTTTTCAGTGATAACGAGACCCTCCTGAGAATGTTGCGATGTCAATACAGTAACTGGGCTGACGCAGGAAAAATAACATCAGTTCCCATTGCGAGAATCCCCAGATTGTTCCTGAAAAACATCCAGATGCGCTCAGAAATGCAAAAAGAGCTCAAACCTCTTCAAAAGGGCGAAGATGGTGAAATAAAACTCTATCGGCTACTTATGGAGAACTACAAAGAAAATTCGAAAGGAGTCATTGTG